ATTAGGACCATCCTTAATTACGGGCCAGACCGCGGCGTTTTATCTTAAAATATAAATATATTTTTTTTTATGCTAGTAACTATCCTTATAGTATAGAATATGGCCGACAGGAAATCATGTATGCAAAACAAATTGTTCAACTTCCCTCCTCAGTGAAAGTCGAACTTAAGAAACGAGATGATTATGGATTCGCGGGAAGATTGTCTGGGTTCGAATCCAATCCGGGTAGGATTGACAGGGCGCCAGTCAATAAGTATTCGTCCTTGTACACCCAATAGTATTTGGGTACCTGGTTGTTAACCTATTGGTTGGTGGTGTTCCAGGGAAAACTACTACGGCCCACTGAGAGCTATGGTAAGGAAAAAGCTCTTAGCCTGTTAATAGTGGTCAAACGCTACTGCATCTGTACCTACCTGGGAATAAAATTCTGTACCTACCTGGGAATAAAATTCTGTACCTACCTGGGAATAAAATTATGTACCTACCTGGGAATAAAAATTTGTACCTACCTGGGAATAAAATTCTGTACCTACCTGGGAATAAAATTCTGTACCTACCTGGGAATAAAATTTTTTACCTACCTGGGAATAACATTTTTTACCTACCTGGGAATAACATTTTTTACCTACCTGGGAATAAAATTCTGTACCTACCTGGGAATAAAATTCTGTACCTACCTGGGAATAAAATTCTGTACCTACCTGGGAATAAAATTCTGTACCTACCTGGGAATAAAAATCTGTACCTACCTGGGAATAAAATTCTGTACCTACCTGGGAATAAAATTCTGTACCTACCTGGGAATAAAATTATCAAAACCTTATTCAATATCACGTGTCTAGAAACGTTTATCTAAAGTAAACAAATTTAAGACATTCGAAACTATATAAAATACTCCATGAACGGTTAATTTGTGCTTTAATAAGCACATAACATAAGAACATAGGAACAAAGGTAACTGTAGAAGGCCTGTTGGCCCATACGAGGCAGCTCCTATCTATAACCACCCAGTCCCATTCATATACTTGTCCAACCCGCGCTTGAAACAATCGAGGGACCCCACCTCCACCACGTTACGCGGTAATTGGTTCCACAAATCAACAACCCTGTTACCAAACAGGGTTGTTAACAAACATACACAGAACAAAAAATAATTTTAATTTATCAATATTTGATATTTGACTTTTTACAATATTTTCTTGTTTACATAATTTATGAAAAACTAAAGCTGGTTAGAATAACACAGGCGAATATTAATTACAAATTTAAATTCAGAAAGGGTCATTGGAGTAAAAAATATTTAATGTGAACGAATAAAATAAAACTGGTTGTTGTTGGTAATTCATAATTTACACATTTTCACTATATGCATTGCATGACCTATATTTTCACATTTTATTCATTGCATTGTTCATTAAATGAACAATTGTTCATTGTTAATTCAATTAACAATGTTCATTCTCTTTTCGCTCTGATTATATATATATATATATATATATATATATATATATATATATATATATATATATATATATATATATATATATATATATATATATATTTATTTTTACAATAGGGAAGGGAGTACCAACTCTGGCTGGAAGAAGGGGGACCCATAGCCTCGGAGGAAACCACACATAACGCATTGGAGGGAATGTGGGTCCCCTCCAATACAGTTTCTGTGTGCTTTTCTCCTACCACCCCCTTCCCTTTTTTTTTTTTTTTTTTTTTTCCTTTATTGTGTATTTAAAGTTTACAAAACATACAAGACAAATGCCTAAAGGTTATGGATCTCTTGAAGCTCCTCCGCTTCTGGACAGGAACCGAGGACGCAGCAAGCATTTCCCCTCTGGATCGCCACACTGAGACGCTGAAATAAAAAACTGGAAGCCCTTGGGTCTCTGGTGACGTCAATGAGCTTGGACCCCAATTCCTTGAGAAATCCCAAGGCACTCTTGCCCCAGGGGCCATGCGTCTCAGACGCTATGGGAACAAAGAGGTATTGACCTTCCAGTCGCCTGTACTTGAGTGATTTTGCTGTTTCCCTGTGGTTGGCCGCCCCACCTGCTTGATCAGCTCCGAAGTGTACATAGGTGTCAGCCAGGGTGGATACACATGTGTAGTCCCACACCAACTGTCTACCCTCCTTCCATGGGTATATGGTGATGCCATCAGGGCGAAGTGCTGGGAAATCCGGGTTTTGGACCCCTAGGATGCGAGGTTCTCTTTCCGCTGGGCACCCAGCTAAGACGAGGCTTCTCTTGATGATGTCATTGACCTCGTTGTGTCTTGCATGCCAGCCCTTTGTGCTTCCGCAATGCAACCCATGCAGTCCGTATTGGTCTGCTTCCACCCTGTTGCAAATACACTTGTATTCAGTGTATATAGTCGCATATAGTCCTGGGGACCATTCAGGCTTGTTCGCGCATATATATATATATATATATATATATATATATATATATATATATATATATATATATATATATATATATATATATATATATATGCACGAACAAGCCTGAATGGTCCCCAGGACTATATGCGACTGAAAACTCACACCCCAGAAGTGACTCGAACCCATACTCCCAGGAGCAACGCAACTGGTAACTACAGGACGCCTTAATCCGCTTGACCATCACGACCGGACATAAGGAAGTGATAGCCGAAGCTATTTGAACCACTTCCCCGCCGGCACTCGGATGATAATCTTGGGCATAACATTTTATCAAATCACCTCATTCTTTGGGGCACACGTGAGGAACACAAATGCGAAGAAGCCTGAATATATATATATATATTTAGTGTGTGTGTGTAAATCACGAAGAAATTAACACGTGATTAATAATGTGAAAATATTTAATCATGAAGGAAAATTGAAAGCAAAAGGGATTTGTGCACTTTCGTGTTTAAACAACACATTATCAAAAGTAAAATCGATGATTGATGAAGATTAAGCCACCCAAGAGGTGGCACGGGCATGAATAGCCCGTAAAAAAATTTTTGAATGCAACTCTTGAAAATATAGGCAGGAGGGTGATGTATAAGGTACAAAACCGTCTTCGAAACCTAAGAGAAGGAGGAATTTTCAGGTCTATTGGCCAATACCTAAAATTAAATGAAAGAGCAGGAATTCTTGTAAGCACAATCTCTAATGATACACGTGAGTTCCTTAAAGACTAAATGAGATATCTGGGTATTAATAATCTTACAAAGATCATGTTTTAATTTATCCATTAAAAATGGATCCAAATTGTACAAACTATTAATAATATTAATGTTGAATGGTTTTGTAACGTGTAATAAATCAGATTCAATAATGTGTCTATTGAAAATGATTTTACAATATGTAACTGAAGAAGACCTCTCCCAATCGGTTTGATGAGACTTTTCCGATAAATAAAGCATTAGATAATTGACCACTTTTTACAGATTAAAGAAGAATGAAGACTCCAGCTTCACAGAAGAAAGACGACTCCACGACCCAAGAGGTCAGCTGTCCTCGCCTCGTCGCCCCCGACACAAGACCCTCGCCTCCTTGCCTAGCTGGCCAGGTTGTCGAGAGCCTCAGAGCTGCCTCGCAGCTGGGTGGTAGCTCCTGGCTCTTGTCTCTCCGACTTCGACGTTTCCTCTCACTGGCTATTCTTCACCTATATCCACTTCCCCGCTCACCCGAAGGGTATCTTGTCCTATATCTCGTTCGTTCGTTCTTACAGAATATTTCTTTCAAAATTTGAAATTTCAAATCTTTTAGATATTTTACAAATAAAGAATGGAACACAATCCTTGCAGGTTTTTTTGTAAACGACAGTTATCACTAATAATATAAAATGACAATATATGACAAAATGACAATATGACAAAATGACTATATGACAAAATGACAATATATGACAACAAAAGATATTTTTTTGGGCGATGTTTTTTCATTGCTGATTGTGTTAAAATATGTACACTGACTTTTACTGCTTCCAAGAAACTCACTGGATAGCAAAGCTTGAAACCAATAGAATCAGTATTTTCAAACTTCTTATCTAAGAACTCAGGACTAACAATTCGAAGAGTTTTTTGATACACGGAGGAAAAAAAAATATTTAATCTTTTAATGTAATCTTCAAAAGATTATTTAATTTCTGAACAGTATATCAATGTCCAGAGAAATAAAGAATATACGATATTGTTAGTAGGATTTCTGTAAACACTAAATCCGAGAGAGAAATCTTCTCTCTGAATTATGATATCTAAAATTGGCAGAAATTTAAAAATTTCAGTCTCATTAGTAAATGTTATAGCCTAACTATAACACGAGTTCTATAATCAGTTATGTGGGCTCCATTACTTACAAACTTACTAAATGGCTCGCCAATTTTCTTTCCCCCGTTGATAGGTACTATTTCATGTTTACATTTGACTACGTGTCAGCTGTCTAACTTTTAGGCACCTATTTACTGCTAGGTGAACAGGGGCTTCAGGTGAAAGAATCTCTGCCTGAATGTCTCGGCCTCGACCGGGAGTCTAACCCGGGCCCTTAGGACTAGGACCCCCATAGCACTGTTCACTTAGCTGTGTGCGCGCGTGTATGTAAATCATGAAAAAAATTAACATGCGACGAATAATGTAAAATTGTATAACCACGAATGGAAAATGACTTGAGCGCTTTCGTGTTAACACACATTCAGAACATGTGTTAATTCGGAAGCCCTGAAGTCATTTCTTGTTTCATATTCCCTGCATGGTTGCACGAGTTCACATTATTCAACACGGTAACTTTTTTGCGTAGTTTACACCCACACACACACACACACCCACACACACACACACACACACACACACACACACACACACACACACCACACACACACACCACACACACACACACACCACACACACACACACACACACACACACACACACCACACACACACACCACACACACACACCACACACACACACACACACACACACACACACACACACACACACACACACACACACACACACACACACACACAACACACACACACACACACACACACACACACACACACACACACACACACCACACACACACACACCACACACACACCACACACACACACCACACACACACACACACCACACACACCACACACACACACCACACACACACACCACACCACACACACACACCACACACACACACCACACACACACACCACACACACACACCACACCACACACACACACCACACACACACACACACAAACACACACACACCACACACACACACACACACACACACACACGAGTAGATGAATAACCGGTGAGAGGAAACGTCGAAGTCGGAGAGAGCGAGCCGGGACTCGACCCAGCTGCACAGCGTAAGCTGAGGCTCTCAAAATTTTGTAGGTATAGCGGGATGCTACAAAATGACAACCGGATATAAAAGACAAGAGTTACGAGGAGAGACTAGAGACGTTAAACATGCTAAAACTAGAAGATAAAAGAAAGAGCTGTTGTGATCACCAATTACAAAATTCTAACAGGAATTAAATAGTCTAAAATGACAGAGGAATTCCTGAAACCAGCAACATCACGAACAAGAGGACACAGATTCAAGCTAAGGAAACAAAGGTGTTGAAATAACGTTAGAAAGTTTTCTTTTGCAATTACATTTAGGTAATTACACACGCGCATGCGAGCACACTCTCATGCACTCACGTGCGCATGCACTCGCGCGGGCGCACAGTTTAGTCTTATACGGTGGTCCACCCCAAACTCCCCCCACCCCCTCCCCCCTGGCTCACCTCATGAGAACTACTGACCCTCCCCAGGATGCAACCTCACTACTCCTGTCTATAACTCCTGGGGTACCTATTTACTGCTAGGTGAACAGGGGCATGAGGTGGAAAGCAATCGTGCACAACTATTTCTGTCCCGCCTGGGAAAATCGAACGCTGGAGCCCCCGATTGTGAGTCGAGTAGGAATCCAACCGTACAACCACGTATTGTGTGTGCATATATATTTTCGGTCATGTTCCATGATCGCTGTTGCATGTATTACCAAATTATCATTCACACTTGCATTCGGTTTGGCAGGAAATGGAGTCACTTGTTCCCATCGGGTCTCGAACGTGTTGTGTTGTATGAGTCTTCAGTTGGAAATGCATTATTTTGGTTCTAACATTTCGTTATGCATATATAATTATCTTAATGTAGGTTTCGGCCACCTCGTTAGCATTGTTAAAGAGGATATGAATATTATGCTTATTAATGATTTTTCCCACAGCAGAGAGAGAGAGAGAAATAATATTTGTTTTCAAACAGGCGCTGTCAAGCGTCCTTCTTAACACGAAGCCAAAATTATTTTACGTTGAAGGCTGAGAAACCTACGACCTAATAAAATATAAACTCTTACCCTTCAGAGTATCGTAGTTCGTAGCACAAACCATTTGTAATGCATCGCCATTCTCCTCGGGTCAGTATTATTGGCGTCAGTTCATGGGGGGACCAAGCCAATTTATTCCCTTTAAATTTTTGTCCATTCATTACCAATTACTGGAGTGGTGTAAAAACTAGAGGGGTCAATCAGGGGAGGGATGGTAGCAACGGAATCTTGGCCTTACGAGTGGAGGTATTAAGGCTGCTAGTGGGTCAACGTCCCCACCAGCTGTGTTCGGTGGTGTTTTTTTTCCCTTCGGCTTCTCGAGAATATGAAGTTTCCGTCCTAACCTCATCTCTGTGTGTGTGTGTGTGTGTGTGTGTGTGTGTGTGTGTGTGTGTGTGTGTGTGTGTGTGTGTGTGTGTGTGTGTGTGAACTCGCCTGGTTGTGCTTGCAGGGTAAAGCATCTGCTCTTAGCTCTTGAGCCCCGGCTTTCGATCATTATTAGTTCAATGCATGTTTAATGATTTTCACTCGTTTCACTCTGATCTTATTTACGTTGAAAACTGTGTATCGAATTGGCTTTAAGTTCCTCGCCTAGTTCGATCCACTTAATTAGGACTATGAGACTGAAAAACGTTGTTTCTGGCAAACTTTTAAGAGGGATGGGTTGGTCTAAGGTTCAAGGGGATGATCTGCCCTCCGTAGACAAAATATAGTCCAAGCGTAATTGACTATAAAACTTACCATTAGTTATGTGAAGGACAGAGTTTCATTAATTTCCACCCTTAATACAGTATTTAATGGGATGTACATTATTAGTTCATAATTATAATCACACAAATTGTAATGATTTTGTATTAAGTGATATTTTTTATTATTAATTAGTGTGTAAATAATAATAATAATAAGGGATCAAGAAATGTATTAGAAGATAAGGTTATCACACAACCCATCCTCTCAAAAAGTACATAGAATTTTGACTAACAAAGCAACATAAGCAAAAAAGTGATATCATAGCGGATATTAAATATCATAGCTGCTCGCAAAATTGACATGTCCAGTTTTCTATTCATGAATCCTCGGTTAGGTTAGGTTCGGGCAGTTTATAGTACATCATTTTAGCGACGCTGTAAGTGCTCGAGGGAACGGGCTGTATCACGAGAAAGCACTAAGCCGGTATGCGACTATGTAGCATTTTGGGGGAGAGATTAGGACAAAAGACAGAAGGAAGGGCGGGCTGGTGCTTAATCACTTGGACAGTTGGGGAATCGAACGCAGACCTGCAAGAAGCGAGGCCGTCGCTCTTCCCGCCAGTCCAAGTGGTTGGAATGAAATGAAAAATGAATCATCCTCTGTTATTTTTAAGGCCCGATTCGTGATCTTGAATCAAGACACTTCCAGGGATCGTCACATGTGGCGAAGTAGTTTCATGTTGACATTTTCAATAAACTTAAAACAAATTTGTCTCAAAAATCAAATTTTTGCATTGGACACAAATTTATATAATAAAATATCCAGTAGAGTTGGTAATAGGAATGGAAAAGTTGGACGTTGAAATCATTTATCTATGTTGTAAGGGTTCGCGTACAGTTCATTTTTTTTATTCCAAATTTGATGTTATGGATGGATTCAAAGGTCACCTGAAACTTCAGTGCTTTTACCAGTTAATGAAAAACTTGCTATAGGGATTCATACAAGCCATCACGAGGTATTGGATAAGGAGCCAACACAACTTGTTTTGGATAACAGGTCACGTTTGATCCAACGTCTCCGTGTTATCTCAGAGATAGCATAAGGTTTCAATAGGCTTGTGTTGCTAATGCAACAATACACACTTGTGTTGCTACCGTGTTGATGCTACTTGTGTTGATGAGTAAATGCGGTTCCAGCTTCATCAAACTGAACATACGCAAAGGCATAAGATCATTGGAAATGGAAAACTCTTAAGCTTGCTACCAAATGTCAAAATTCACCTCCTGAACCCACATTTGTAAGATTTTTTTTATCATACACGGTCATCATTTCGTTAAAGTAACGAGGATATTGACCTTTCATATGAGTAACATTTGAAACAAAGGCCTCGATTATTACTTTTACGTAATTACGTAATAATTACATTATTTATCAATTACGTAATAATTACATTATTTATCAATTACGTAATAATTACATTATTAATTATAAAAATGCGTAATTACGCATTACGTAATAATTACATTATTACGTAATGCTATACGAGCACACAATGTTTACGTTCTCATCTTAGTCCAACTGTTTGCAGAACGCACTTTTGCAATCTGTTATCTTTGCAGACGAAATATATGCACATACACCGTCAGTGACAGGCCAAACACCTGCGCTAAAACTTGAGAACATCCCTGGCAAAATGAAACATTGAGAGTGTTTATATATGAAAATGTTAGCTATACAGAATCTCGAACAATCTTTCGTGTGTGGATATCATCTCATACCAACAAATGTAAAGTTTCATGTACGGTCTCATAAGAGGGTTAAGACCCCCCGAGGTTACCCAAGTTTCCAGTTTAAAAAAACAGTAAAACTACTATAAACTCCAAACATGTAGGACAGATAGAAGACGAATAACGCGCTGAAAGGCCTGGAAGCACAAGTATTACAATGACCTAATTTGCTCTGAAAGGTTACTTATTATATGTGGATACACTCATTCCTGCAAAGTTGGCTAGAGATAAGTGATTTATTTCCGTCTCATGTTGGCGTTCCTGACCACTAGAGCAAGTGTCTACGTATCAGGAACCCTCCTGTTAGAAGGGGGGAATCATTGCATCACAGTACACACACAAATCACAGTAACGTGATGCATCAAATATAAAGTCGATTGTCGTACCATATGTTATCCATGGTACGGATGTTATCCATCCATTTTCAGTCAATTAAGGCAGCGTCTGGAATGCTCACAGACGTAGGTTCGAATCCTCGTCACGGCCCTTGTTGATTTGTTCATTGTATCACAGCATCTCTTGACATATTGTATAACCCTTCATAATGAAATACATCCACATAATTACTTAAGTATATCCATATAACACAAACAACAGTACAAATTAACAGATATAATTGCACAATAAGTATAACAGGTATAATACTAACCAAAATAATACACAAAAAAAATAATAATTAGAAAACAAACCAGTCATAGAGCGGGTTCCGTATCTCAATTTTATTTCACCCCCAAAAAATAAATCAGCCAGAAGACAAGAAAAATTTTGGCGAATGAAATAATTTTATATGAGAGCCCCAGAAGAGCCCAAAATGAGAGTGGTGGTGTGATCAAAGCGGCTCGGCACCACTGAAACAAGATTAGAAGGTGAGGCGGTGAAAGACGCTGGGATTAAAGCCACCTTTGTAATTATATAACAATGCTCACGAAGACGATATTTTGATTAAATAAAATGGAAGGAGGAAGAGAGGGAAAGTGAGAGGGGGGGGGGGGCGCCGGGGGGAGATAAGGAATCTGTGAAAGGGGAGGAGATAGAGGAACAGAGAGAGTGAGTGTGTGTGAGGGAGGGGAGAGAGAACACGAGAGAAAAGATAGAACAAATAACCTCCCAAGAATAAACAGATGAATTCTTCACCCGAAACTCTTCTTAACGTTCCCATGACATCCTCCACTCATCACCGTTTCAGCATTCTCATTACTCACAAGATCCTCATCACTCGCAACATCCTCATCACCTTAACAGCATCCTCATTACTCACGTGCTCTTCCTAATCAGTATCTCCTCACTGCGGGAGCACAAATAATACTTAAGCATAAGCCCTCAAACACCCTTGAGACAGCTTCATATTTCTTGCCACTTTTCTCAAGAAATAACACCATAAGAACTACCGAGATCCCGACATCCACAAAACAACAACGTCGCTGCCTCCTTTAATCATCTTATCACCAAGTGAATAGTGCAATTCTTCCTAAATATTAAACCACCTACAGAACACACACACACACACACACACACACACCCAGGAGACCAAAACACACACACACACACACAGGAGACCAAAATAAAACACACACACGAAGCATCTCAACATCATCGCAACACCCACCATTTTACCCCATCACTCAAGTCATGAAACAACATCCTATTAACTAATAGGTCGCCATTTGTTTACGGTATTGTAACAAACGTTACAAATGTAACCTACTGTGAAAAGTGATGGCTAACACATATCTACATTGTGTGTGCGTCAGACTCGGTGGGTTAGGTAGGTTGCTTGGGTTCGTATATTTGGCTAAGTTGGATTTTTTTGAGTTGCAAATCGGGAGAAAGGGTTCAATTGAGTCTCAAAAAGCTTCAATCACGCAACCGTTGAACCCTCCACATATGTTCTAATTGATAATTAATTAAGCGTTTAATGAGAGTAATCCTTATTTGCGATGGTCATTCCCCCATAGCTCCTCAAAACATAAATTAATTTTGCTGGGGGTTGAAATTGGTGCAAGTCTGCATAGCCAAATGAGTGAATTTCCTTTACCCTATCCTGGAATATTCCTGGAGTGGGTTCTACGCGTTCTCCTGCACCCCGAATCCTGGGCCCATTTTGGTTAGGATTGTCTTGTGATAAGTTGATCCAACAGACTGTTGCTTGCATGCAGTGGCTCGCAGGACCACATGTAACTGCAACCCGGCTCGCCCTCATGCTCGAGGGGTGACAGGAACCTCATGAAAGTTGAGGGGTCCCCTCACTGCTCAAGGGTGACAGGAACCTCAAATTCTAGTCTCTTATTGATCTCTCCGACAGAGGGCAGAACCGTAAGACGAGTCACCTTTAGTTGGGGCCGGCCAGGCTAGATCCCCCCCCCTTAGTGCCAGAGTCTGGTGATGGGGTACGTGGGAGGGAATACAGAAAGGAAGGGAGAAAACGTGGGAGGGGGGAAAAGGGAGATGGAAGAGAATGGCTTGGCAGGAAGAGGCGAATGGAGAGTGGAAGGAGGGACGGGAGCGGGATTTCGCGAATGTGAAAACAGGAATAGATGAACCTCATTTTCCTTTACAACTGCTTCCTCCCATCACCCTTCTCCTCCTCCTGTACTTCCGAATCAGTGATAAACCCACTGGTGGCCTCGGCCCCTTTATCGAAGAAAGAAAGAAACTGCTTATATCTTGGAGGTGACCAAGTCAGGGTGAACACTATGCTGATACTGGGTGAATGTCCTCACCTGGATGGTGAGGACATTCGAAGGCGTGAGACTGCGTGAGTGCTCTTGAGAGAGTGGGTGCGTGCTCTCAGAGTGCGTGCGTGTTCGTGAGAGAGAGCGTGTGCGCGCGAATTGCGTATACTCGCCCCTGACTCACTTGCGTGGGGGTTAAGCTCCGGCTCTTAGGACCCGCCTCTCAACCGTCAATCAACTGGTGTACAGATTTCTGAGCCTACTGGGCTCTATCATATCTACATTTGAGACTGTGTATGGAGTCAGCCTCCACCACGTCACTGCCTGATACATCCCATTTACTAACTACTCCGACACTGAAAAAGTTCTTTTTAACGTCCCTGTGGCTCATTTGGGTACTCAGTCCCCACCTGTGTCCCCTTGTTCGCGTACCACCCGTAATAAATAAAATTATCCTTATCTTCCCTGTCAATAACTCTGAGGATTTTGCAGGCAGTGATCATGTCTTCCCTTATTCTTCTCTCTTCTAGTGAGAATAATTCTTCTCTCTTCGTGAGGTGCATTTCACGCAGCCTTTCCTCGTAACTCATGCCTCTTAGTTCTGGGACTAGCCTAATAGCATACCTCTGAACTTTTTCCAGCATCGTCAGGCTCCATGCTGGGGCCGCATACTCTAGGATTGGCCTTACATACGTGATATACAAGGTTCTGAATGATTCCTTACACAGGTTCCTGAAGGTTGTTCTGATGTTAGGCAGCCTCGCGTATGCTTCAGATGTAATTCATTTTGTGTGCTTCAGGAGACAGGTTTGGTGTGATATCAACTCCTAGATCTTTCTCTCTGTCCGTTTAATCTTTCAGTAATTCATCTCCCATCCTGTATCCTGTGTCTTGCCTCCTGTTTCCACCGCCTATTTTCATTCACTTACATTTCTCGTGTTTAACTTTAGAAGTCATTTGTTGGACCATTCATTCAATCTGCTTAGTTAATCTTGTAGCCTCATATTACTATCTTCCTTTGTTTTAATCCTTCTCATAATTTTTGCATCATCAGCAAACAATGAGATGAACGATTCTATACGCTTTGGGAGATCATTTACATATATCAGAAACAGTATAGGTCCAAGGACTGAACATTGTGGGACGCTATTGGTGACGTCTCGCCAATCTGAGACCTCACCCCTCACGGTAACTCGCTGCCTTTTGTTGCTTAGGTACTCCCTTATTCAATGGAGAACGTTCCTATGTGTGTGTGTGTGTGTGTGTGTGTGTGTGTGTGTGTGTGTGTGTGTGTGTGTGTGTGTGTGTGTGTGTGTGTGTGTGTGTGAGAAAAAAAAGTAGTTCACATAATAGAAGAAAAATAAGTGGGATAGAGAGGCGGGGTCCAGGAGCTAATAGCTCGATGTTGTTGGCACAAATAGTAAATACACTTTCCCTCAGATATCTTCCCATTTTTCCTTAATTTATTTTTTATTTTTTTCATGGCTTCCTCCCAGCGATCATTCCCGCCCTGAGCACCCTCCCAGCGATCATTCTCGCCCTGAGCACCCTCCCAGCGATCATTCTCGCCCTGAGCACCCTCCCAGCGATCATTCTCGCCTTGAGCACCCTCCCAGCGATCATTCTCGCCCTGAGCACCCTCCCAGCGATCATTCTCGCCCTGAGCACCCTCCCAGCGATCATTCTCGCCCTGAGCACCCTCCCAGCGATCATTCTCGCCCTGAGCACCCTCCCAGCGATCATTCTCGCCCTGAGCACCCTCCCAGCGATCATTCTCGCCTTGAGCACCCTCCCAGCGATCATTCTCACCCTGAGCACCCTCCCAGCGATCATTCTCGCCCTGAGCACCCTCCCAGCGATCATTCTCGCCTTGAGCACCCTCCCAGCGATCATTCTCACCCTGAGCACCCTCCCAGCGATCATTCTCGCCTTGAGCACCCTCCCAGCGATCATTCTCGCCCTGAGCACCCTCCCAGCGATCATTCTCGCCTTGAGCACCCTCCCAGCGATCATTCTCGCCCTGAGCACCCTCCCAGCGATCATTCTCACCCTGAGCACCCTCCCAGCGATCATTCTCACCCTGAGCACCCTCCCAGCGATCATTCTCGCCCTGAGCACCTCCCAGCGATCATTCTCACCCTGAGCACCTCCCAGCGATCATTCTCGCCCTGAGCACCCTCCCAGCGATCATTCTCACCCTGAGCACCTCCCAGCGATCATTCTCGCCCTGAGCACCCTCCTAGCGATCATTCTCACCCTGAGCACCCTCCTAGCGATCATTCTCGCCCTGAGCACCTCCCAGCGATCATTCTCGCCCTGAGCACCCTCCCAGCGATCATTCTCGCCCTGAGCACCCTCCCAGCGATCATTCTCACCCTGAGCACCCTCCCAGCAGCGATCATTCTCGCCCTGAGCACCCTCCTAGCGATCATTCTCGCCCTGAGCACCCTCCTAGCGATCATTCTCGCCCTGAGCACCCTCCCAGCGATCATTCTCGCCCTGAGCACCCTCCCAGCGATCATTCTCACCCTGAGCACCCTCCCAGCGATCATTCTCGCCCTGAGCACCCTCCCAGCGATCATTCTCACCCTGAGCACCCTTCCAGCAGCGATCATTCTCGCCCTGAGCACCCTCCCAGCAGCGATCATTCTCGCCCTGAGCACCCTCCCAGCAGCGATCATTTTCGCCCTGAGCACCCTCCCAGCAGCGATCATTTTCGCCCTGAGCACCCTCCCAGCAGCGATCATTTTCGCCCTGAGCACCCTCCCAGCAGCGATCATTCTCGCCCTGAGCACCCTCCCAGCAGCGATCATTTTCGCCCTGAGCACCCTCCCAGCAGGGATCATTTTCGCCCTGAGTACCCTCCCAGCTATTATTCCCGCCCTGAGCACCCTCCCAGCGATCATTCCCGCCCTGAGCACACTCCCAGCGATCATTCCCACCCTGAGCACCCTCCCAGCGATCATTCTCGCCCTGAGCACCCTCCCAGCAGCGATCATTTTCGCCCTGAGCACCTCCCAGCAGCGATCATTTTCGCCCTGAGCACCCTCCCAGCAGCGATCATTTTCGCCCTGAGCACCCTCCCAGCAGCGATCATTCTCGCCCTGAGCACCCTCCCAGCAGCGATCATTTTCAGCAGCGATCATTTTCGCCCTGAGCACCCTCCCAGCAGCGATCATTCTCGCACTGAGCACCCTCCCAGCAGCGATCATTCTCGCACTGAGCACCCTCCCAGCAGCGATCATTCTCGCACTGAGCACCCTCCCAGCAGCGATCATTCTCGCCCTGAGCACCCTCCCAGCAGCGATCATTCTCACCCACAGTATCATTAGCGCTATTGGAGATAAAATCTCCATGATGGCTGGTCCCAGTATCTTCTAGTCATCGCTTTCCCTCCCTCCCTCTCTCTCTCTCTCTCCCTCTCTCTCTCTCTCTCTCTCTCTCTCTCTCTCTCTCTCTCTCTCTCTCTCTCTCTCTCTCTCTCTCTCTCTCTCTCTCTCTCTCTCTCTCTCTCTCTCTCTCTCTCTCTCTCTCTCTCTCCCTCATCGCCAACCTCGAGCATCATTCTCCCCATCTTAGATTTGCATGTATTTTGTTCATTCTAGCTCATTATATACGTTGAGTATCTCTCTCTTAGCAGTTACTTCGTCCACTCCTGGTGTTTGTCCCATGACAGGTGGACACTGCTCCTGGGACAAACTCCTGGGACACTGGAGTTTGTCCCAGGAGCTGGACACTCCAGCTGTCCGTGTGGGTCGTCTGCTTATTCTGACCAACACTATATATATACACTGTGTCTCCCGTCTCTCCCTCAGTGCCCACTCTCGTCTCCGATTTATTCCTCTCATCCTCCTATTCCCCCTTTTCCTTCACTGGTCATGTCTCCGATCTTCCCCGCTGCTGGTCTCCAAGCACCTTCTAACATCCGCCATTTTCCAATATTTCCTCCCCTCACTCCTCTCTAACCCTCTCCCGGTCTCGAATCCTCCCCCTCCCCCCATCCTCTCTACCCCTTCCTCGCCTCTAACTCCCTTCTCAAATGACCTTGATATCACAAGCTTGTATTTGTCAATTCTCATAGGTAATATCTTCCCCTACCTTGCCTTGATTTATCAACATAAACTTCCTCTAAAGTGGTCACCCATGCACCCACCCCCCTTTTCTTGACAGCTCTCCACGCCCTCGTCACAGCGTCAGTAACTGATACCTGCAATCTGCGCAGCCATCACTTCTCGCTGACAGCTGTCAGTGGGTTCATGTCGCGCCTCATGTTGTCTGCTCCTGCAGCTTTGACATGTCTTCATGCGCCCACTACAGTGCCCCGCTTCCACCAGCACCCCAGACCCAGAAAAAAATAAAGTTCCTACCCACCTCCACCTCCTACCCACCTCCACCTACCCACCTCCACCTCCTACCCACCTCCACCTACCCACCTCCACCTCCTACCCCCACCTACCAACCTCCACCTCTTGCCCACCTCCTCCTCCTACCCACCTCCACCTACCCCCAAAACCTATACCCCCCACCACCATCTAGAAAGCGCAAGGGAAGCTGGCAAACGTGTGTGAATCATTTATCAAAATAATGATTCGACAAACTACTCTACCTATGTCAGACAGTTACTGGAATATGCAGCACTGCCTTCAAATTCGCAACTTCTCACGCACAAAATACAAATTGAAAAACGCAGAGTTTTGTAACAGAGCCAAGAAATAACGAAGCTAGTTAAGCCAGAAATAAGGGGGGGGGGCTTAACTACGAGAATAGGTTAAGGTGACAGAGTATAACAAACCTCAGGTGGGAAGAAAGAGTGATATGGTCACAGCATACAAGATACAGAGAGGAAAAAAGGTCAAGTGGAATAAGGATACAAGTGCAAACTGGAAACGCAAATATCCACGAAATGTAATGGAAACTCCTATACACCGTGTACAGGTGGCCAACCAATGAAGTGCACTAAGAAGAAGTTGTGATTAAGCCACCTCCATCCAAATCCTTTAAGCCAGATTTGAGAAAGAATTTGAACGTCAGATTATAACGCAAAAAGCACAACAAGGTTAGTCTGGGCATAAAGAGCTGGAGCTCAACCCCCGTCCACCCCCAGTAGTCACTGACGGGTATAAGTACCCACCCAACCTCATGCCCACAACCACAACCATCCTCCAATCACAACCCCTCCCTCCCAAGGCCCGCTTCCTGCCCTCCACCGACACTTGTCATCATTAGCGGAGTGGACCCCGGGTTGAACAGGCGGGTCCTCCCACAGATCCTGAGGGAGATTGCAGGATGGATGGTCGCCCCAACTCTTACAACTGGTGTCATCGTTCACGGTGGAGCCGCTACCATGGCTCACCTTCACGGTGGAGCCGCTACCATGGCTCACCTTCACGGTGGAGCCGCTGCCATGACTCACCTTCACGGTGGAGCCGCTACCATGGCTCACCTTCAAGGTGGAGCCGCTACCATGGCTCACCTTCACGGTGGAGACGCTACCATGGCTCACCTTCACGGTGGAGACGCTACCATGGCTCACCTTCACGGTGGAGACGCTACCATGGCTCACCTTCACGGTGGAGACGCTACCATGGCTCACCTTCACGGTGGAGACGCTACCATGGCTCACCTTCACGGTGGAGACGCTACCATGGCTCACCTTCACGGTGGAGCCGCTACCATGGCTCACCTTCACGGTGGAGCCGCTACCATGGCTCACCTTCACGGTGGAGCCGCTACCATGGCTCACCTTCACGGTGGAGACGCTACCATGGCTCACCTTCACGGTGGAGACGCTACCATGGCTCACCTTCACGGTGGAGACGCTACCATGGCTCACTTTCACGGTGGGGAGACTACCATGGCTCACCTTCACGGTGGAGCCGCTACCATGGCTCACCTTCACGGTGGAGCCGCTACCATGGCTCACCTTCACGGTGGAGACGCTACCATGGCTCACCTTCCATGCACGTTCGCGTAACCCATTCAT